CAGGAAAGAAGACATCCTGGAAACTTCTTCAACTGGAGAGTTCTTCATTTAGGTTAACTGATAATTGTTACAAGCAGTTGCTGAGTAGGTGCGTTCTGACCTCCCCGTTTTTGTGAAAAATACATTTGCACATAATCCACCAACTGACAGCTGCCCTCAAGCTTGTGCTGATTTTTGCAGGTAAATGACAGGGAACCAGGCAAAGAAATGAATCCTCCTCCCCTCACTCAAAAAGGGCTGTGCACACTCTGCCCAGTTGACCAAACCCTCTGGAAGAATGAACACAGAGCTAGTCCAGAAAGAAGGGCAGAGTCAGGCAACTCTCGAGGGTAGGTGGGGATCCCACCCTGGATAATCATACCAATTTTTCACTGGAGTCTGCCCCATGCCTCTCTTCCATCCCTCCCTCCCTCGGCAAAAGCAAATGCACTGTACATCGTCAGGGCATTAGGTCATAACAGAAGGAGGAGGAGGAAGCAGCACATAGCCTTCAACATGGTAATACATTATTTTATTATACAGAATAGAATATGGGAGGTGTACCTGCGATTAGCTTCTTTAAACAAACAACGATCATCCTTCAGAGCAATCACCTTAGGAGGCCATTTGCTTATCCCATATGTACCTCTATTGATTAAAACATTTCTACAAAGACTCCTTTAAAACGGATTTTATAGCCATTTCACGAAATACTCAAGACAACTGTCATTAGCTAGGAATTAGTTTTTGACTGATTCCAGAAAAGCAAAGGATAAAGATTTGTCACCGATAAGGACATTCAAAAATTGTGTCACTGAAGACAATTCCCCAAGAGGAGTTATAAGACTTGTGTCGTGGCGGCCTTGCTGGAAGAAGGGAGTCCCCCCAAGGTGACTCCTTGGAGGCGGCCGTGCTTCCTGCTGCGTTTCTGTCCAGCCACATCTGGAGTGTATTATTTATCATTCCTGATGATCGTTCCTTCCTTCACCTGGTTGTTATTTTTCATCCTAAACAGTGAACTAAGCTTTCCCTAAGAAGGAGAAAAAGGGAAGGAAACAAATTCCTGACCCCCATCTGGGTCAAGATCCCATTTCAGATTTCAGCAAATTCCTATGCACAAGTATCACCAGGGTGGCTAAACCGTTCTGCTTCCAAGAAGCCCAAACCTAGAGACAGGAATATCGGAGCTGACTCTGATTCACCTCCTAGTAACTGCAGACCTACTCAGTGCCACGGGGTCTTTCCATAGGGGTTACTGTTTTTCAGCCTGGGAATTTAAGACAGTTTTCCTTCCCCAATGGATGGAATTTGTCTTTCACTTTCCCTGCTACCTAGTCTAAGACTGCAGGCTGCTCCGTGGACCTGCTGTTCTGTGAGACACTCCAGTTTCCTGGTACCCACATCTCAAGAAGACTTTGGGGATCATTTTGTCCACTTATGTGTCCCCCAGCAAAGCCTCACTTGAATATTCCTGGTTCTCATGTTGATCAGCTTGGGCTGGTTAACAGAACCCTGATCCAAAAAGGGTGTGTTGGTGGCCACCATCACACAACCTAAGGTGGAGGGGGCGGGCATGCACACCAAATTCTATGTGAATGGCACCACCTAGAGTTGTGCTCCAGGAGTGCAGTGAGTGGTGGTCCCTGGAGCTGAGAGGTGCTGCCACCCTGCAGCCTGGAGATGCTGGCAACTTGTCCGCCTTGTGCAGCATTCACAGATGAAAAACCTACATCTTGACAACTAAAGTGTCAACACCTCAGTCTCTGAAAAGAGGCTCAAAGTGGAGACCCCCTCCCGTCAGTGACAGCTGGGAGATCTAGGCTCAGGACACAGCTCACCAATTTTCTCTCCATCAACTTCAAAGGCAGCTCCAGCCCCAGGGAGGACCTCCAGGGTCTGGAGCAAAGTAGATCCCACCCAAGCTCAGTGTTAGGCAGTGGTGTTGCTTGAGCACAATTCAGGCTGGGCTAGAAATAGTAGCGAGATACGGATCCCACTTGGGCTAGAGCCCGCGGAGGGATGGGAGTGGGTAGTGGAGAGGTAGTCACGGTCTTCAGAGGGTAGAGTGAACGTTTACAATTGCCCAGGCCCCTCCCTCCTGGCCCTGCCAGAGCAGGCAAAGCTGCTTGAGCCTCCTCACCTGCTGCCAAGCCTATCCCACCTGGATACCCTTCTCCATCCTCTGCCTAGCCCGCCCCTTCTCTCCTTTCAATTTCTTTCATACTTTCCTCTCCCAAAGAGTCTTTCTGAAAAAACACACTGGCCTCCGTTATTTCCACAACATCCCTCTCAAGCATTCCCTCGGCCTGCAGGATCATTCAGACCCTGAGCCCTCACCTCACTCCTTTGTGTATCCTATTCACCCTATTATGCCAGGACATCCCCGACTCACAGCTCCCAAGGCTCAGCCATCAGAGCCCCAGGAGAGCCACCACATCAAAGGCTGAGACACCAGTGCTCCGAGGAGAGGGTCAGCCGGTCAATAGCCAGCCTTCCCTGACGGGACTCCTCCATGCAGGGCACCGCGGGCCATATTAAGACTAGGAGTGAAAGAGTCTGGTCTCCAAAAGCATCGGGTCTCATAGGGCCAGAAAAAGACCCACTCGTGCCAGATTAATAAATAACAATAATAAACCTGACCATGGAGGTGAACCTTATGGACAATACATTTCAGAGGTGGAAGAAGGTGCCATCTACTAGGGTCTCCCCAAAAGACTCCCAGAGCAGGTCAGGTAGGAGCTGCCCTTGCAGCCTCTCAGAGGCCTCTGGGCTGCTGAGCAGTCATCATGTGTGTTGTCCTTTGTTTCCTAGAACATTGGCCATGGGAAGATGAGCTCCAGCTGGGAGCTGGGGCAGGGGTGCATCACTGAGCATCTACTCTCTGCCAGGCACTGGATTGGGCACTAGGAACCCGGGAAGAGTGAGGGAGTCCATGCCTTCAAGGCTGATGGCCTATATGGGAAAGAAACTGTAAACAGATCTTTATAAGGCAGCGAGGGGAGGACCAACACCGGAGGTACAGCCCCCAGGCATCATGGGAGCACTGTGCACACGTGTAAACCTCTCAGGGGAGAGGGGAGAGGAACGGGGTAGTGAAGGCATACTGAAAGGGGGGCTAATGTAAACTGTAAGCAAGTGGTATCCCTTCTTCACCCCACACCCCTCCCAACCGAAGGTCACCTTCCACCCTGAGAAGAAACCACTGGCTTCTTCAACCAAGGTCACATGGGGTGTCAGCCATCCAGCACACTCTCACCTGCCCTCGGGACAGAGTATTCAGATGTGAACTGGGCTTCCAGCTGGCTCTGGGTGCCTCCCTATCCCATCTACCCCACAGTCCATCCCACCCTGCCAGCATCACGGCCAGGTGTCCTCTGAATCCCAGGACTGAACAGAGCCTGGGGAGCAGGGAGGGAAGAGCCTACCGTCTGCTAGAATGACATGCTCTGCAGCCCCCTCCTTTGTGCCCTTGGGGAAGATGTCTCTGCTTCCCCCTCATCCTCTGTCTGGATCCAGCTCCCACCTCCCACTGCTGCAGCCGAGCTCTCCTCTCCACCTGGGAAGAACGCACCCCTCCTCCAGATCCCTCCACGGGAGCAGAGTAGGAGGGAGGCAGCATATGGCCCCATTCTCCTTGGCCTGGGCGGGCTATTTTAGAAGTGAGAAACCCCCTGGCCTGGTCCTACCCTCTGGGGAGCAAGCTCCCTCCCCTCACCACATTCCCCAGAAGTTCTCAGACTGCGCTCCATCCTAGGGCTACGTGCAGTTATGTGGTGAAATCACTGCTTTCCTGCCCTGAGGCGCCAAAGCTGGGAAGGGAGCCTACTCAGACCTTTGATGTAGGCACGTTTTAAAAAGCCCACCTGTCCCCTCTCTTCCCAGCCCCCAGCCTGAACTGCTGGAGCCCCTCATCACAGCTTTAAATCCCAGGCTACCCCCCGACATGGCCAGGATCGGGTCACACACACCCTCTCCCGCTGGGGGAAACCCAATCGTGCTCACTTGGGGACATCTGTCTCCAGTGAGTAAGGAGCTATCCCAAACTTCAGTGGTTCTGTGACACTTAAAAGCTTCAAGCAGGAAGATCTGCAATTTCTCTTGGAGCAGGGCCTGTGGGGAGGGTCGCTCCAAAACCTTCGTTTGATGTTGTGCTTTCATGGTTGCGGTTTGATCCAGATGTTCCCCACTTGTGGGATTTTCTCCTTGGGGAGGAGGAGCCCTTGGCTGTGAAGACATTTCCGTCATATGCACGTTTGGACTGGGATAACTGGGTGGGGGTGCTCATCTTGCCGGTATCACCCCTGCTTTCAACACCCCTGCCCTTTCCTCCAAGGATCACATTCTTGCCCTTCATATCCAAAGACGAGAAGAGGGCATTGCCCTCAGGGGGCATTCCCAGCTCCCAAACTTGTAGGCTTGTTGTGTCACTGTCCAGAAATGGCTCTACCTCTCTGCTCTTCTGGCTCCAGAAGATGGAGCTGGAGTTGGCTCCCAAAGATGGTTCCCAGATCACGGGGAAGAATAGGAGAGGGAATTCAAGAACCAGATTTCTGGCCAAGGAACAAACAATTATCTAAGAGATTGTGAATGGAATTGCACTGAGAGTGATGAGTCAGGGCTCCCAAAGAGGAAGTAGCCAGGGTTGGATCAACCCTACATGGGTGTAATTAAACTTTCCAGACTCACAGGTCCGCCTGCTCCCACCAAACTTGGAAAGGTTAAGGCCATCCCTCCTCAAAGGCTTCACTAAAACCTTGGAAATCTTTCCTTCAACCTTAAGAGTCTTCAGAAGTTCTTCCTGCTGTCCAGCTTCAGTCAATGCTTGCTGTAGCAGGAGGTGGCTTCCCCAGGGAAGGTGCATCAGTCACACTCAGTGGTCCTCTAAGACCCTCAGCATCTTTCTAGATACCTCTGCCTTATGGAATCAAAAGAAGAGCTGTCAACTCCATCAAAATTTAGGTTGCTCCTGGAGCTGTGCTGGTGACCACATATTCACTTGGGTCTTTGCTTGCTTTGTGGAGGTCACAGCCTAATCGGGCATGTGGATGTTGAATGAGAAAGGACAGAAAGACCAAAGAAACTCCAGCCCTGCTGGACCAAGGTACCAGCCTACAAGAGGACCCTAAAGGACTTGCATCGGCCACAAGGTTGGGTAAGTGGATTTGTCTTAGGGGGAGGGGACTACGTGGGGAGAGACAAATCCTGGGGGGCTTCTTGCAGGAAGGGGAGATTCAGAGGAGGCAAGAGAGGGTGAGAGCCACTGAGTGGACCAGGAGGACCCAGTTCTGGGGAGAACCATGGGAGACAGGCCAGTGGGAGAAGAGAGAACTGATTCCCTGTTGGATTACGGAGAGGGGAGGGATGGAGAGAGAGGCGGGCACAGGAAGGAAGGGGGAAAATGGGAAAACTCCACATAATGTCCCACCTGGAGAACTGGGGCGGCTGCTCCCCTTGCTCTGTGTAACATGGGGGAATGCATGTTTTGGGGATCAGCTTTTCCCCTGGAGGCCCTGAGGGTCAGTTCTCAGGCCTTGTCCTCCCCTTGGACTTTGATCTAGTCAAGCACAGATGGGTCAAGTCATGATGATGAGGGGGCAGGTGGCACTGGGTCTCCTCTGTTTGAATTTTTTCTTATTCCCCCACGTCCTCTCTCTCTTAAGCAATAATTTCTCGTTTCGCTTGGTCTTATATACCCCATATGTCTGTAGCTCAGAGAATGAAGAAACACTCCATCATTCTTAAGCTGGGCCTTGCCACCTGCAGGCCCTCCCCTCCAACACATATGTTCACACAACTGGGGCAAGTGGTTAGCTTCCCCTTGGCCCCCTCTGGCCCCTCTCCCCTACCACCCTTCTCATCTTTCCAACTAGAATTAGAGCCTTCTCTCCTGCAGGGAGGTGGGAGGGGTGTAGGCAGGGATCCATACAGCTGGATAACAGCTGGGAGAGTCCCACCTGTTCTGTGCACTCACAGTGGCTCCCTGGAGGGGACCAACGACAAGGGGGAAAGGTACTAGGAAATCGCGTGGGGAGAGGGGAGCTCATGAAGCGGGGTTCTCTACGTGGTTTGCTCTGGTCTGGTCTGGGGAAGGTCAAATGCTCAGCAAGGTGTCCTGGGTCTCAGGCAGGCGCTGGCAGGGTGAAGCAACTGCCCGCTCAAGCCATCTAAAGACTCGGCTTCCCCACCCGCCTCTCCTCTGCCTCTCCCACTTGCTGTAACTGTGGAAGCCAAGTCAGGACACACCTGTCACAAGTGCTGCCCTCATCCCTCCCTGTGACTCCACTCCCCCACCCTAAACCCTTCTGCCCATGCTCAGATCATCCCCCTGCAGGGCTACTAGAGTTTGACCCCAACTCTACCCCAAAGACAGACCTGTTCCCCAACCCCCACTGGCGCTGTGGGTGAAGCTGCAGTGGGACCAGAGGAGATGCTCATGTCTCCTCTCATGAGGGGCCAGCAGACCCCTAGCCCATTCCCAGGATCACCACTCCCAGGCTGGCATGAGGAACCTAAGAGGGGCAGGGCCATGCAGAAGACCCGGGGCGCAGCAAGGCCCCCACTCTCTCCTTATTAGTGCATGTAAACCTAAGAACCTCCCCCCAAACGTGAGGGTTCTGCTTCAGGGCCATGGAAGACCTCCAGCGCCTGCGGCTCACCCTCTACCTCCTCAGCCCTACCATTGCCGTGACAGAGCCGTCTGGGCAAGCTGACCCCCAGGATGGGGCTGAGGGGTTTGGGTGGGAGGACAGAAGTGAGAGACACTTTCTTAGTGTTTCCTGCAAAGCCTACCAGGTTAGAGATGCCACTATCTGGGCCCTGTGTCAGACCCAGTGGGTCACTCCACTGAAAACCTGCCCGGGGTGTGTGTGAGGCCACTGAACTCATTGGAGCTGATGGATAAGATGATGGCCAGCAAGCAACTGACACAGAGCCCCCACTATGTGCATGGCATGGGCCTGACTCTGGCTGGGGGAGACAGCAGGGTGGGGAAAGGCCATTTTATTGATCTTGCACTCCATAACCACACTAACCCGGAGAGGTACTTATTACAAACACTGGAACCGTATGTTTGTACAGAACACCATAATCTTACCCTCACCCCCGTCCAGACATGTGATCATGTGTGGAACTCAGACATACAAGCTAGATGGAAGAAAGAACTTTCCAGAGCATGGGTGGTCATGGGTAAAGTCATCAGAAGACCTTTCCTCTTGGAAGGCAGTGAACCAAAAGAGCCCAGACTCGCCACGCCAGGGGTGAGGTTCAGCTCCAGTCTGCAGGCAGGGGCATGGCCGAGATGACCTTTCAAGATCTTACCCAGGACAAGGCAGAAAGGTGGAGGTTCTAGTAGAGGGGCTTGAAGGGGAGGGGACACTCAGAGGGACAGACAGACAGATCAAGGGACTGGAGGAGTGAAGGGGGGTTGAAGAGCAGGGTTCAGAGATGAATGGTCTTGGCTGGACCGACTGACGACACCCGGATGGATGGATGGCGGCTCAGGTTTGTTTACTGGCAGCCCCCAGCCCGCCATCACCCGCCATCACCCGCCATCACCAGGGGAGAGGAATGGCGGCTGGCACATCAGAGGGCTCTTAGGGAAGCTCATGGAGATGATTTAGATGGGAATGAATCAGCTCCATATGGATTAAGTGTCCCCGCAAATCCCAGGATCTTACAGATGAGGGGACGGGGCAAGGGCACTGGCGGGAGGGGAATGAGGAGGGAGCAGCGAGGAGCTCGTGCTGGGAGACAGGCCCAGAGCCAGTTGGAGGTGCCCTTTGAGGGCACCTCCCCAGGGCCATCTATACCAATGCCTCTCTGGCTTGGAACTGGGCTTTAGGAAAAGACTCCGTCTATTGGAGCATCCTCTCTGGGTGAGTTCCTGTCTGTGTCCTCTTGCCTCTTCTCTCTGAGTCTTCATGTGTCTTTCCATCTTCACTTTTCTGTCCCTCTCCTTCCCTATCCTCTCCTTCCGCCCTGTTCCCTTCTCTCCTTCCACTCCCCCCACCTCTCTTCACTAGAGGTGTAAATGGCATGCAGCTGACACGAAGTTCCTGTTCCCTCCAGCCCTTAGCTCTGCCTTCCCTCTGGCTGCAGCCATGCTGCCTGGCCTTTCCCCCAGGCTTAGGGTTGAA